ACAGTGATGAAGATGATGATGATGACAGTGATGATGACAGTGATGAAGATGATGATGATGACAGTGATGATGACAGTGATGAAGATGATGATGATGATGTTCCTCTGCAGGATGAGAAGCTGCTCAGGCTGCTGAAGGAGTTTGGATCAAACAGCTGGTCGTCAGTTTCTCTTCATTTTAAAGTGAGTGTCTTTGTTCTTGTTATTGTTATTGTTTTGGGTTCGGTCCTTTCAGCTCGGCCTGACACTCACAACAGCTTGACATGTTGAAGCATGTCCATCATCTCTGTACATTTATGTAGCTGATGTGGTGTTATGTCTGATAACTCAGACTGCTATTTAAGGAGCAGGAGGAACATATGAGTCTCTCTAAGTGTTAGCTGAAGTCAAACCTTACTCCTGACTTTTGTTTGCCTTTTGGACTTTGAGGGGAACAAACAGACCTTTCATACTCTATCCATCAGTAGTACATCAGTGTTCCTATAAAAGGATGACGTACCCGGGCGATGGAGTTAGCTTTGGGGGGGATGTTACTAGAGGTGGGGAAAAAATGATTTATGTAAAAATCTAGATTCTTATCTTCTGAGATTTTAAATAGATTCATAACTCCCAAAAATCAATTCTTTTGGCTAACCAGTTACTCCCTGCAAAGTGCTCAGGCTAGCTCTTTAACTCAGCAAGAAATTCAGCCCGTCTCACAGATGACTGGACTACTCCAGAAGTATGTACTAATTAAAAAAAAAACACTTTGATTCATGAATCCAGAATCGTTTTGAATCGAAAATAGATTCTCAATCGAACCGTGAGCCTAAGAATCAAAATCGAATCACGAGACACCCAAAGATTCTCAGCCCTAGTCGTTACCTTTTTTTACGAGCTTAGGATATATTTTAATATATTCATTGATCTTGCTTTATTCTCACTTATTAAAGTGTGTGAACAAACAACTTAACCTGCTAATCTTACTTCTCTTCCATTCTCATCTCCACACACACACACACACACACACACACACACACACACACACACACACACACCTGCCCCTCTCCTTTCTATCACACAGCAGCTTGTCCTGACCCGCCTCTCTCCCCGAGGTTTGTTTATTGTTTGTTGTATGTTTTTGACAATATTCATCAGCAGTACGTTCGAGAGGCTCAGGAATCTACTCTCTTTTTTTAAATGTTTACTCGATATTCTCTTATCTTTTATTGATAATGTCAGTGTCGGTATGAATCTATTATCATCTGTGTGATTTCCTCATTCCACTGTTATTGAGACTGACTCACACTGTCAGAGGGGAGACAGAAGATTTATTACTCACACACACATACACACACACACACACACACACACACACACACACTGTCTCACAACGTGTCCTCACTGTATGTCAGGGTCAGAGGTCAGCTGTGGAGTGTCAGAGGAGGTGGCAGCAGATGAAGAACCCAGAGCTGGTCAAAGGTCCCTGGACTCAGGAGGAGGACGAGAGGGTGACACACCGCACACTCACAAACTCTACTGCTACAGTATACTACATTATACTGTACTGTCTGCTGCTCTTCATGAAGAACACCTGTGTTCCCTTCTACAACCAAAATAAATCAGAACTGTTTTTCCTCCATTAAATTAGCAAGAAATGAATCTAAGAGAAGTTAATAGTTAGCTTTAGCTACAGCTGACCGCTTCCAAATGGTGTGAGAGCATGAACAGTACAGCGTTTCCTAACAGCACGGGACATGAGTGAGCGTCAGCGACAAAATCAGCTTGATTCTACTGTTTCCTACGGTAGACGGCACTACGTCTCTGCTCCGTTTCATATACGCAGCGAGTCTATTTTTGCCGGAGTACGCTGCAGGCACGCGTCAAGCTGGACAGAATATGACAGCCCGGACAGGAAGTCAGACAAGGAAACGCACAGAGCATCCGGTCAATTTCAAAATAAAACACAATATACGGACTCGCGATCATATTTTTCATACTTTATCAACATGACGTCAAAACAGGAACCGAATGAACAACAATGCATCCTCAGAAAGACAAAGCAACATGTTGTTTGCGTGTTTTTGTCTTTATTCCCGCGGGATCTTGTAGTTCTCCTGTGATGTGTCATGGATGCGCTCCGCTGCGCTGACGTCCCCGAAACTGATCCAGTGTGAATGGGCGCGAGCCATCTGACGGAGCAAAACCACAGCGCTGACGGACCGCGGCGCTGACGGACCGCGGCGCTGACGGACCGCGGCGCACACAGAGTATTGGGGTGAGAGGATGAAACCCTCCCACTGTAAATGTTACAGACCTGATGGATGCTACTGTACTACACTACTACCACCTATAACAAGCTTATAAAGGTTACTTTCTAACACTTCTAAATGTGTCACTTTAGTATTTGAATGAGGACTCGTTGGTTGATCAAACAGAATAGTGTACTGATGGTGTCCTGTACAGACTTGTTATAACATTGTGATGTCACTTCCTGTGCAGCTCATTGATCTGGTGCAGAAGTACGGCATGAAGCGCTGGTCGCTGATCGCCAAACACCTGCACAGTCGGAACGGGAAGCAGTGCCGGGAGCGCTGGCACAACCACCTGAACCCGGTGGTGAAGAAGAGCAGCTGGACCCTGGAGGAGGACCGTGTCATCTGTGAGGCGCACAGACTGCTGGGAAACCGCTGGGCCGACATCTCCAAGCTGCTGCCCGGCAGGTAAGCAGAGCACCAGGTGTGAGTCTGAGCAGGTAGACTGTGCAGGACCTGAAGCAGATGTTTGTTTTCAGGACAGATAACTCCATCAAGAACCACTGGAACTCCACCCTGAAGAGGAAGGTGGAGAGGGAGGGATACCTGCAGGTCCTACACCTCTACAGCTCCTCTAACTCCTCCTCCTCCGTCAGACCGTCACCCAGCATGGTCGACATGTCCACAAAGGTCACAAACCTCCACCCATCATCCTCCACCCGTACCTGCTAACTGAGATAACGCTGTGGTTTCTCCTCCAGCAGGCAGACAGTCTGTGCACTGTGAAGGACGAGTCCAGCTGCACCTCCAGCGATCAGAGTGTGTGCCGTCTCCATAGCAACCTGGCCCACCTGTGCTCCCTCTGTGTCCCCGCCTCCTCAGGTTACGACTCCTCACTGAGCATGTGCGAGCTGATGGAGGTGGTACATCAGACTTTATATTAATATGAATACAGCTGTGTGGGTGTTTTCAGCCCTCTGATTGGTCTGTCAGGCTGACAGTTTATAACTTAGACAGACACTTCTATTTCATCGTCCTTATTCCCACCTGCTTCTTCTTTCTCTGACAAGTTTCAAATCTGACTTTGTCCCAGAACCCGGAGAGCTGGAGCCGCGGCCCACAGGAAGTGAGCTCATCGCTCTCCACCTGCCTGTACGGAGACGAGGCCGACCCGTCAGTTATGGATCTGAGCAGGAGTTATGTAAGAGATTAGAACATGTTTCACTTCCTGTCATCCATGTCAGTGAGCAGCATCAGCAGCAGCTCTTCAGCTAACATCTTTCTTCAACACAAACAATTCATCATGGAGTCACGGCTCCAGCTCACATCTTATTACTCACTGTTGACTTCATAATGAGAAGCAGCAAGTGCTCATGTCAGGAGCTGTTTGCATTCTCACATGAAGGAACATATGGATGAATGTGCACCATGTGTTCCTGTCATTTCAAGTGCACTGTGTCTGTGTTGTTGTTGTTGTTGTTTTGAAGGCTTCTGGTCTGAAGGAGCAGCTGCTAAACAGTGAGGGCGGAGCCTCCATCACTGACTCCTCCTCCTGGACCAGGAACAGCATACAGGGAGCTCTGAGCTTCTCTCCCTCTGAGGTGAAGACGTGTGCATGTGTGAACGCAAACTGACACGACTGTTTCTTTTTTTTAGTTTTTCATTATAGAAACAAGTTGATCACACGCTACGTTTCATTTGCAGAACAATTTTAGGGCGCACTCACACTAGCAAAGATGTTCCATACTGTGCTTACTCTGCCCCCGCCCCCCCCCATTCCCCCGCTGGCCTGCACTCACACTGCCCCAGGAATAACCGGGTATGGTTGCCTCTTGTACATAACGTATGGCTTTATGTTGTTATGAAGAGTGCTTTGTTTACAAACAGGCGCACATCAGAGAACAGAACAGAGATCAGCTACTTTACTGACTTTTTGAGTCATTATAGTCAGAGACAGACTCAGGGATTTCTCCTGAATAAAGGCTGTCCACGTTGTGTAACCGCATGCTTTTGCTCGTGCATGAACTGTACCGTGCCGAAGCAGAGCAGCTTTATAGCTTAACCATGCTATGAAAACAACCAGACACTAGACTCCTCTCTGCTCTGACTGCAGCTGGGACTGCTGCGCGAGGCTACTGTGAGACTGACCGCTAGTAGCTTTTGACATAAACAGTCGGCAGATTGAGCGAGAAAGTCAGAATTTGTAAGACCTTCTCCGTAAAAATGACAGACAACAAGAAAGTGTAGCGCTACCTCTGGTCCTGTGTGAAATCAGCCAAGTGTTCATACCTGACACCCAAAGAGCACCACAAGACATGGAGTCAATCAAAAGAGCCACAGTAGAGAGAGAGAGAGGACTCAATCCTGTGTGTGTGTGTGTCTGTGTGTCTGTGTGTGTGTGTGTGTGTCTGTGTGTGTGTGTGTGTGTGTGTGTGTGTGTGTGTGTGTGTGTGTGTGTGTGTGTGTGTGTCTGTGTGTCTGTGTGTGTGTGTGTGTGTGTGGTGTGTGTGTGTGTGTGTGTGTGTGTCTGTGTGTGTGTGTGTGTGTGTGTGTGTGTCTGTGTCTGTGTCTGTGTGTGTGTGTGTGTGTAGTTCTTCAGTGTGTGTGGTTTAGACGACCTGAAGTTTCAGTGTCCGACTCTCACCTCCACCCCCGTCTGCGTCCTCAAACACGCCAGCAGCAGCAGCATAGAGCAGACCAACTCCTGTCTGCACTGGAGCAACAACACCAATCAGTAAGTCGGGGGGGGGGGTTTCCACCAAGTGGTACAGTTTGTTTCAGTACAGTTTAGTACAGTGAACCCTGACCTTGTCTACGCTGTTCATTGTGACATCACTCTCTACAGACACACATCTCTACACTCATGATTAAACACAGCAGTTAGTCTTCTTCTGCTGTTTTGATCAGTTTGTCTGTTGATCTGAAGCTGAAGTGCTGTGTTGTGTTCAGGACCCCCTCAGAAATCAGAGAGAGGATCAGAGTGTTGTTGATGTCAGCTCCTCTATCTCCGACTCCTTTGAAGAGCAGCAGCATCAGCCAGGAGGAGGTGAGAGGAGAGCCCGTACTAGACTCATACAGACTCACTGAGTCTCTGTTTCATGACTCTGTGTGTGTGTGTGTGTGTGTGTGTGTGGTTCAGGTGTCAGCAAGCTCCAGCAGGAGGATGACGCTGAAGGGGGAGGAGCCAATTGTCGATCCTGACAGTCAACAGTCCAACAGCAACTCTGAGGTTTGCTTTCATCTGATTCTATTTCACAGGTTAAAAACACAGAACAACCAATACAACCACATTAAACACACACACACAGAGCAGCTGATACACACACACACATGCACACACACACACACACACACACACACAGACACACAGACAGTGCTGCTGACACTGGTGTTTGACCTATCAGGACCTGTTTCTGACCTCCAGGTGCAGGGAGAGAGTCTGCTGATCCCAGCCCAACAGGTCAGCAGAGAGTCCAGCTCCACCTCCGAGACTCAGGGAGAAACCAGCTCCACCTCGCAGACTTTGGGGGAGTCCAGCTCCACCTCAGATACTCTGGGAGAGCCAAATGTCATCGTGGAGGTTCAAAGAGAGTCCAGCTCAGTGCTTGGCTGTGAGGAACTGGGCTGTCTGGTGTTGGAGGGTCAGATGGAGGTCTGGTGGTGTCAGCAGTCAGGGGGTCACCGGAACTCTCCTGAGACTTTTGCAGACAGACAGAACCTGCTGGAGGTGAGGACCCTCAGAGACCTGGTCTGAGGTTAACGATGTGAACAACGATGGAGAAGAACTTTATGATCAGCAGTTTGGATCCATATTTACCCTCTCCACCTTGTGTGTGTGTGTGTGTGTGTGTGTGTGTGTGTGTGTGTGTGTGTGTGTGTGTGTGTGTGTGTGTGTGTGTGTGTGTGTGTGTGTGTGTGTGTGTGTGTGTGTGTGTGTGTGTGTGTGTGTGTGTGTGTGTGTGTGTGTGTGCAGCTGAGTGGCGAGCTGCATGAGGTGATGTTTGGGAAAACAGACGATCAGAAGAGTCTGACAGAGCAGGCCCGACTCTACGCGGAGCCCTGATCTTCGTCCTCCACAGGTCAGTCTGGATCATGTGACAGATGTTTATGTTGACATCATGATTATGACGGAAGAGGAGGAGGACAGTTAGACTGGTCTGACAGGATGGACTGAAGGCCCGGAGGGCTGCAGCTAACGATTATTTTAATAACCGATTAATCGGTTGATTATTTTTTTGATTAATCAATTAATTGGATTAGAACAAAAAATACATTTTGAGTTTCCACATGTTCACATTGACAGTGCAAATAAAAGTGCCCTTGAGTAAGGCACAACCTCGCTGTGTACAGCCCCCCCACTCTGACATCCCTCCATCGGTGCATGTCCACAGCATCCTATCTGTGCGTGTGTAGCATGTTCAACAACAGTGTAACATTGAATTTCCCCTCACAGGATTAATAAAGTTTATTTTCTTCTTCTAAATTTATAATAACTCTGTTTTCTTGTTTTTCAGACTTGTCTGCTCTTTTATCATCTTCATCTGTCCTCGTGGTCAGCAGCAGGTCCGCCGTCCGCTCTTTTAATTTTTTAATCTGACGAACGCAGTGATTGTGAGGAAGCTTCAGAGTGCCGATTCGAGCTGCGAATCATGAGTCAGCATGTTGATTATTTCATCCTGAAATCATCTGAGTGTCGAGACGCTCGCTGCTCCGAGACTCCCTCAGTCTGTGATGTCAGCCGCTCTGACAGGTTTCGTTGATTTATTGAGCTGTTTTTAAAAAACACATTTAAATGATTTTATTTGACAGTAACCGTTTTAACAACAATACAAAGAGTTTGAACTTTTTAAACTTTTTAATGAACTATTTCTTGCGTTGTCAGGTATTTGATAGATTTTTAAATGATCTTTATCTCTTCAGACATCGTGTCTTCAGACTCTCTGCTAAATGTAATTATTCATATTTATTTCTTGAATTCCGGCAGCTTTGTAGTTTCATATTCTGTCAACATCCTTTCAATCTTTGACACAGAGACACTTTATATTTAAAACTTACTTTTGCACTTTGGAATGAATCTTTCTTGACCTCAACAATTCCTTCTGTGGAACGTAAAGTGAATATAGCTGTATTAGTATATTTCAATGCAACTTGATTTATTTATTATTTTTTATTGAAATAGTTTTGGACATAAAAACGTGGAATGATTTATTTTCAGTTGAACGACTGACTCGTCTGAGGAGATTTTTAAGATGTGCAATAAACAGAAAACCAACATGGCCGTGTTTTTATTTTGATGTTTTATTGAAGACAAATTTTCACATCAGCAACTATCTGTCTTTACGAGACCTTCAGGTACAATCCGAGACTTTAGTGTCTATCCTTCTCTGAGTCCAGATGAAAACAAGTTCCACCATCTTTGGTCGGGTTCTGATCTGAAGACAGTTCAGTTCAAAATCAGAAACTTCTGACTCGTCCTCCTCAATTCAACCTGCTGCCTCATGGACTTTACATAAATGACTTGAAAGTAATCTCTGCAAGCACTGGAGTTCCTCTTTGACCTCAGGGACTAGGACCTGACCTCAAGGACTTTGACATGATCTCAGGGACTTGGACCTGACCTCAGAGACTTTGAAATGACCTCAGGGACTTGGACATGATCTCAGGGACTAGGACCTGACCCCAGGGACTTTGAAATGAGCTCAGGGACTTGGACATGATTCCAGGGACTAGACCCTGACCTCAGAGACTTTAAAATGAGCTCAGGGACTTTGACATGATCTCAGGGACTTGGACCTGACCTCAAGGACTTTGACATGATCTCAGGGACTTGGACCTGACCTCAGAGACTTTGAAATGACCCCAGGGACTTGGACATGATCTCAGGGACTAGGACCTGACCTCAGGGACTTTGAAATGACCTCAGGGACTTGGACATGATCTCAGGGACTAGGACCTGACCTCAAGGACTTTGAAATGACCTCAGGGACTTGGACATGATCTCAGGGACTAGGACCTGACCTCAGGGACTTTGAAATGACCTCAGGGACTTGGACATGATCTCAGGGACTAGGACCTGACCTCAGAGACTTTGAAATGACCTCAGGGACTTGGACATGATCTCAGGGACTTGGACCTGACCACAAGGACTTGGACATGATCTCAGGGACTAGGACCTGACCTCAAGGACTTTGACATGATCTCAGGGACTTGGACCTGACCTCAGAGACTTTGAAATGACCCAGGGACTTGGACATGATCTCAGGGACTAGGACCTGACCCCAGGGACTTTGAAATGACCTCAGGGACTTGGACATGATCTCAGGGACTAGACATGATCTCAGGGACTAGGACCTGACCTCAGGGACTTTGAAATGACCTCAGGGACTTGGACATGATCTCAGGGACTAGGACCTGACCTCAAGGACTTTGACATGATCTCAGGGACTAGGACCTGACCTCAAGGACTTTGACATGATCTCAGGGACTTGGACCTGACCTCAGAGACTTTGAAATGACCCAGGGACTTGGACATGATCTCAGGGACTAGGACCTGACCTCAGGGACTTTGAAATGACCTCAGGGACTTGGACATGATCTCAGGGACTAGGACCTGACCTCAAGGACTTTGAAATGACCTCAGGGACTTGGACATGATCTCAGGGACTAGGACCTGACCTCAGGGACTTTGAAATGACCTCAGGGACTTGGACATGATCTCAGGGACTAGGACCTGACCTCAGAGACTTTGAAATGACCTCAGGGACTTGGACATGATCTCAGGGACTTGGACCTGACCACAAGGACTTGGACATGATCTCAGGGACTAGGACCTGACCTCAAGGACTTTGACATGATCTCAGGGACTTGGACCTGACCTCAGAGACTTTGAAATGACCCAGGGACTTGGACATGATCTCAGGGACTAGGACCTGACCCCAGGGACTTTGAAATGACCTCAGGGACTTGGACATGATCTCAGGGACTAGGACCTGACCCCAGGGACTTTGAAATGACCTCAGGGACTTGGACATGATTCCAGGGACTAGACCCTGACCTCAGAGACTTTAAAATGAGCTCAGGGACTTTGAAATGACCTCAGGGACTTGGACATGATCTCAGGGACTAGGACCTGACCTCAAGGACTTTGACATGATCTCAGGGACTAGGACCTGACCTCAAGGACTTTGACATGATCTCAGGGACTTGGACCTGACCTCACAGACTTTGAAATGAGCTCAGGGACTTGGACATGATTCCAGGGACTAGACCCTGACCTCAGAGACTTTAAAATGAGCTCAGGGACTTTGACATGATCTCAGGGACTTGGACCTGACCTCAAGGACTTTGACATGATCTCAGGGACTTGGACCTGACCTCAGAGACTTTGAAATGACCCCAGGGACTTGGACATGATCTCAGGGACTAGGACCTGACCTCAGGGACTTTGAAATGACCTCAGGGACTTGGACATGATCTCAGGGACTAGGACCTGACCTCAAGGACTTTGAAATGACCTCAGGGACTTGGACATGATCTCAGGGACTAGGACCTGACCTCAGGGACTTTGAAATGACCTCAGGGACTTGGACATGATCTCAGGGACTAGGACCTGACCTCAGAGACTTTGAAATGACCTCAGGGACTTGGACATGATCTCAGGGACTTGGACCTGACCACAAGGACTTGGACATGATCTCAGGGACTAGGACCTGACCTCAAGGACTTTGACATGATCTCAGGGACTTGGACCTGACCTCAGAGACTTTGAAATGACCCCAGGGACTTGGACATGATCTCAGGGACTAGGACCTGACCCCAGGGACTTTGAAATGACCTCAGGGACTTGGACATGATCTCAGGGACTAGGACATGATCTCAGGGACTAGGACCTGACCCCAGGGACTTTGAAATGACCTCAGGGACTTGGACATGATCTCAGGGACTAGGACCTGACCTCAAGGACTTTGACATGATCTCAGGGACTAGGACCTGACCTCAAGGACTTTGACATGATCTCAGGGACTTGGACCTGACCTCAGAGACTTTGAAATGACCCCAGGGACTTGGACATGATCTCAGGGACTAGGACCTGACCTCAGGGACTTTGAAATGACCTCAGGGACTTGGACATGATCTCAGGGACTAGGACCTGACCTCAAGGACTTTGAAATGACCTCAGGGACTTGGACATGATCTCAGGGACTAGGACCTGACCTCAGGGACTTTGAAATGACCTCAGGGACTTGGACATGATCTCAGGGACTAGGACCTGACCTCAGAGACTTTGAAATGACCTCAGGGACTTGGACATGATCTCAGGGACTTGGACCTGACCACAAGGACTTGGACATGATCTCAGGGACTAGGACCTGACCTCAAGGACTTTGACATGATCTCAGGGACTTGGACCTGACCTCAGAGACTTTGAAATGACCCAGGGACTTGGACATGATCTCAGGGACTAGGACCTGACCCCAGGGACTTTGAAATGACCTCAGGGACTTGGACATGATCTCAGGGACTAGGACCTGACCCCAGGGACTTTGAAATGACCTCAGGGACTTGGACATGATTCCAGGGACTAGACCCTGACCTCAGAGACTTTAAAATGAGCTCAGGGACTTTGAAATGACCTCAGGGACTTGGACATGATCTCAGGGACTAGGACCTGACCTCAAGGACTTTGACATGATCTCAGGGACTAGGACCTGACCTCAAGGACTTTGACATGATCTCAGGGACTTGGACCTGACCTCACAGACTTTGAAATGACCCCAGGGACTTGGACATGATCTCAGGGACTAGGACCTGACCGCAGGGACTTTGAAATGATCTCAGGGACTTGGACATGATCTCAGGGACTAGGACCTGACCTCAGGGACTTTGAAATGACCTCAGGGACTTGGACATGATCTCAGGGACTAGGACCTGACCTCAGGGACTTTGAAATGACCTCAGGGACTTGGACATGATCTCAGGGACTTTGACCTGACCTCAGAGACTTTGAAATGACCCCAGGGACTTGGACATGACCTCAGGGACTAGAACCTGAACCCAGGGACTTGGACATGACCTCAGGGACTAGAACCTGACCCCAGGGACTTTGACATGATTCCAGGGACTTTGACATGATCTCAGGGACTAGGACCTGACCTCAGGGACTAGGACCTGACCTCAAAGACTTGGACATGATTCCAGGGACTTGGACATGATCTCAGGGACTAGGACCTGACCTCAGAGACTTTGAAATGACCTCAGGGACTTTGAAATGATCTCAGGGACTTTGAAATGATCTCAGGGACTTGGACATGACCTCAGGGACTAGAACCTGACCCCAGGGACTTTGACATGATCTCAGGGACTAGGACCTGACCTCAGGGACTAGGACATGACCTCAAGGACTTGGACATGATTCCAGGGACTAGACCCTGACCTCAGAGACTTTAAAATGAGCTCAGGGACTTTGAAATGACCTCAGGGACTTGGACATGATCTCAGGGACTAGGACCTGACCTCAGGGACTTGGACATGATCTCAGGGACTAGGACCTGACCTCAGGGACTTTGAAATGACCTCAGGGACTTGGACATGATCTCAGGGACTAGGACCTGACCTCAGGGACTAGGACCTGACCTCAAGGACTTGGACATGATTCCAGGGACTTTGACATGACCTCAGAGACTTTTAAATGAACCCAGGAACTTGGACATGACCTCAGGGACTAGGACCTGACCCCAGGGACTTTGAAATGACCTCAGGGACTTGGACATGATCTCAGGGACTAGGACCTGACCTCAGAGACTTTGAAATGACCTCAAGGACTTGGACGTGAGCTCAGGGACTAGGACCTGATCTCAAGGACTTGGACATGATTCCAGGGACTAGACCCTGACCTCAGAGACTTTAAATTGACCTCAGGGACTTTAAAATGACCTCAGGGACTTTGAAATGACCTCAGGGACTTGGACATGATCTCAGGGACTAGGACCTGACCCCAGGGACTTTGAAATGACCTCAGGGACTTGGACGTGATCTCAGGGACTAGGACCTCACCTCAGGGACTTGGACATGATCTCAAGGACTTAGACATGATCTTGCGACTATGACTTTATGTCAGATACTAGGAAGGACTATGACTTGATCCTAGTGACTTGGACATGACCTTACTGGCTAAAGCAGTGACTTGAGTAGGCTTGAGCAACTAGGACGCCAAAGGCCATGACTGGAACTTCAAGCAAGTATATGAGACTTCACTCTGACGGGGGAC